CACTTGCTCAGGGCCCGGCAGCTGCTGTCGCGGCGCCGCGCGATGACGTCAAAAGCCGCTCTTAAAGACCCCCCCCCCCCCCGCTATAAACAGGCCGCGCACCTTTTATCCCTCCTCTCCCATAGAAACCCTGCTCCGCCTCGCTGATGGATTTTTTCCTCTCACCGTGCGCGGACGCCGGAGCTCTCTCGCTTTAACGCCAGCTCGCTTAAGGCGGAAGAAGAAGGGCGGTGTTGCTATGGCGACTGCTCTACGCGCGTCATCTCTGTGCGCCGGAAGTCCGCTGCATCGGAGGCGGAAGATGGCGGCGGCGAAACGAAGCGTTCTTTCCTCGTTGGCGGTTTATGCCGAGGATTCGGACCCGGAGTCGGACAGCGAGGCCGGGACGGGCCGCGCGGGGGTTCCCCCGCGCGGCCCGCCCCGGCCCGCCGCCTTCCCCTCAGTGAAGGAAAGGCCCCGTTCGTTCCCACCTCCTTTTTTCCTCATGGTTTTCTTTTTCCTTTCCTCTTTAGGAGAGAAAGGAGGCCTGGTCTCGGTTGGGTACGGAGACGACGACTTCACCCGCCTGGATGGGGACGAGGACGGGTATGAAGAAGAGGATGACGAGAACAGCAGGCAGTCAGTAAGTACCTCTCTGCTCCGAGAGCTTGCCCCGACCCCTTTCGCCCGTTGCAGCGGCTTTTCTCTCTCCAAGGAAAGCCCCTGACCGGCAACCCAACCTGGAACCCGGAATATCTGACTCCTGGTGTGGGTTTTAGCACTCTCCAAAATACTTCAGTTGACTTTCTTTTCAAGTGGAAAGCATTTGGCTTGAAACCCGTCAGCAGCTTGACGCAGCTCGTGTTGCTTGTTACTAACCTGTTTGACGCTCTTACGGGAAAAAGGCCGGTACAAGTCAACAGCCACACTAAATGAAAATTATTCTCTAAGCATAGTTGACATATACGAGAATCTTGTAAAAGGAACATGCTGTTGCATGGTCGGCTGGAGGATTAAAAAGCATAAAGTTCTGTGATGTCTTAAATTATTCTTTTGTGTATGACTAAACCCACTCACTGCATCAGGTTACCTTGATGTAACAGTGTCCTGTCTAGACGTGGGTGGCTTTTGTTTGTTATAGGTGCATGGCATGTGTATAACATCACCTAAATATCGAGATAATTGGTACATCGTGAGACAGGGCATGCAGCTCGCTGCCTGCGAGTGCAGCTGTAATGCACGAAGGACAGATCATTCAATCGCGTGTCTGTAAGAGCAGAACAGTGAGTTCTGGGGGAGCAGGGAGGGAGGTTCTCGTCTCCGTTCTTTCTCATCAACCTCTTGCTTACCACTGCATTAAGGATGTGTTATCTTGTCCCTGTTCTAGTTTTTTTGGTTACCCAGTAGAGGAAAGAAATAGGGCTATGTTACTATAACCTTTCCTCATTGAAATCTACTTTGCGTGCATTAGATCAGTCTCTTATGGACGCTCACTGTTTCTGCTATCTGTTTTCCCAAGTAGCAGACAAGAAATTTGTCTGTCTCTTGTTCTTGCTTTTGGTTTTGTTCTGTTGCTAACTGGAGAAGGTGCAAGCAGGAGCATTCAGGGTCCGCTCCTGGCGTCTGGCTAAGCAAAGTAGCGAAACTTTTTTACTGCTTTAGTAATTATTCTTTTTATATCCAAAACTTCTAGACCCCCTTCAGTGAGATCTCTTTAGTTTAAAGAAAGTGGTAGGTGTGATCCAGATGCTTGTCAATACCAGCTGTGGTTAGTTAGCATTGACGAATGGGCAGGTAAATGGAGCAGCCTTTATTGCGCGTACAACTTTCAGTGCAGGTCGCAGCTGTCCATCATCCGGGAGGTGCAAGGTGCTGTTCAGGTAACTGCAATCGATCGAGTCGCTCCGCTGTCAGCCAGCAGGTTTCGCGTGTATTTGCAGTTACTGTACAGATGTGCGCAGGTTACACGGGGTGCCTTCTCTCCAGTCTTACTGCAGGAGAGCAATGCTTGGTTTTTTGGATTAAATATTCTTTGACCAGAATCGAGAGCTTCCTTGATACTGCTTGTGCCAGTACCTTGTATTGGTTATGAGTTGGTTTTAGAAAGAAGTGAGTTGGACTCAGGTTGTCCTGGGCTTTTATCTAAACACCTCTGTGCTTATCTACCTCAACAGTGACTGAAAAGCCTCTGTCTTTTCAAAGGCAGTTCTCAGTGATGCTTCTTTGTTTGTTGATGTTGTTTCAGTGATATCCCCTGCTAAGTTAGGAGGTTTGGGGAGCTGTTTCGGTTACCTGTCTATAACATGACGGATTCAACCCATTGTTGCTTTGTTGAAAATTACTCTTATCTCTATAGTATAGGTGCAACTGTGGAGGGGAGAGAAATCTCGTTTGTGGTAAACACCGAGTTACTTGGTACTATGGTTCATCTCTAGTTACAAACTTCCTGGTACTAAACTTTGACAGTTAAGACTGAATTATTGGCACATGTGTGCGTTTCAGAAAGGTAAGCTGAAGAGTAGCCGAAGTGGAGGAGTTCGATGCCTCACTTCTGTGGGATATGCATGTTAATTCAGGCAATTAAAACCTACTGACATTATTGTGTGGTCGTTCTCTAGCTTGCCTTGCCAGAACTTGCTCGTGTGCTAATACTCTGAGGTGGGCATTTCGCTGTAAACTCTTCCTTTCAGTTGCATGTAATCATCTCACTTCTTCTTTGTTTTTCTTTTTGAAGCTGAAACACCAAGTTCTTGTTTTGGGGCCAAAGTTGAAATTTGTGGCGAAGTTTGGAGGAAAAACCATTCTGCTGAGTTGTGTGAGCAAGAAAAACATTTTCTGCTCCTCAAACTTGTTTTGAACCCAGAGTATGTATTTATGTCTAGAAACATAGGTAACTCTAGGATCCCCAGTGAAGTAGCTCATAGGGCAGTGGAACAGTAGGCTTACCTACCAGCTGGGACCAAAGCTGGAGCTTACTCCTCACATGGTGTAGAATTTTACACGAGGCTGAGTTCAGTATTTTAAGCTCTCACAGGGCAGAAATTTGCCCCGTTCTTTGGTTTATTTCTGGATAGAAATAAAAACTGAATGCAGTCCGTTACCTAAAACAGTGAAATTTGTCAGTTATTCCCTTCTTTGCAAGTTCACGTCATCTGCGAATGAGGCTACGAGAGCACTACGCAAATAAGAAAGATGCGGTGTCTGCTGGCATCACCGGATCTTTGGAACTTGGTGCTAGGCCAGGCCCTCACCAAGCCTGCATGTTTGGTTGGACGGCAGGCCAGCTGCGTGTCCTCTGTGTGTTGCTGATGTATGCTTGGGAGTATAATAGGTCTTGCAAATGCTGCTTTTTCTGTGAGTTCTGCTAAACGGGGGCAAGTGCAAAAAGCTCCCTTGCCAACTGGAGGAGACAGAATTATCAAATGACAAATGCTTTTTTCCCAGTTCTGTTGCTTCTTATTGTCTAGTTCTGAGCATTCAGGAGCTGCATGAGTTTTGCGGGGGACATCTGCTACTGAGTGATGCTTTTGCCTTAAAAAAAAAAACAACAAAAACACACAAAAAACCCAAATCAAAAACCAAACAAACACTTCTTTCCCTGACTGTAGGACTTGTTTTCTGGTCATGAGTGGGTGGGGCAAAACTACCTTCCGTGGAAAGGGTCTTGGACTACTGCTGGGCTGCTGAATGCAAGCCCTTTGCTGTAAGTGCAGTTACTTGCCAAGCCTGCTCTTTAAGCTTAATCCTGTAAATTCTTGTCTTGTAGGAAGATGACGATTCAGAGACTGAAAAACCTGAGGCTGGTGACCTAAAGGTATTTGGAAGTGTGGTATGGTGGTGGGGGGGAAGCTCAGTACAAGAGGAATAAGTCTTAACAGCATGGCTTGGTGTTCGTTTGTGATCTTCCATAGCTAGTTCCATACTTTCCTTTTTGTAGCTGTAACGTGTTTTTTTTTTTTTTTTTACTTTAGTTCTGGCTTCTGCCAAAAGTAGTTAACCAGTTAGGCTATAGGCTGAGTCATGACCAAGATCTGCATACATGGACTTAGTCATCTTGTGCATTAGATCTGAGGTAGGTTTTCTGACAGCATCTCACCTGTTTTGCAGAGCTCTGGGAGATGCAGTATTCAGTACAGAATTCTCTTAGGACCAGTGTTAGTTGGAATACTTTCTTTGTTGTCGTGGTTTAACCCCAGCTGGCAACTAAGCACCACGCAGCTGCTCACTCACTCCCCTCCCCGGTGGGACGGGGGAGAGGATCGGAAGGGTAGAAGCGAGAAAACTTGTGGGCTGAGATAAAGACAGCTCTTTGCTGCGCACGCAAGCCGAGCAAAATGAGGACTTCACTCAGTACTTCCCCTCGGCCGGCGGGTGCTCAGCCAGCTCCAGGGAAGCAGGGCTCCAGCACGTGTAACCGTTACTTGGGGAGACAAACACCATCACTCCCAGCGTCCCCCCTTCCTCCTTCTCCCCCAGCTCTGTGTGCTGAGCATGACGCCATACGGTGTGGGACAGCCCTGGGGGCAGCTGTCCCGGCCGTGCCCCCTCCCAGCCCCTTGTGCCCCCAGCCAGCTCGCTGCGGGGTGGGGGAGAGGCAGAAAAGGCCTGGACCCTGTGTAAGCCCTGCTCCGCAGTAACTAAATCAGCCCTGTGTTGTCAACACTTTCCAGCACAAATCCAAACCATAGCCCCGTGCTAGCTACTGTGAGGAAAATTAACCCTATCCCAGCCCAAACCAGCACATTCGTTTAGAACAACTTAATGAATACATGATCTTATGCTCCTAGAGGTCATGAAATGTGGCAAAATCAATTCAGTTGTCTCCACTTCTCTTTCTGTCCTTCTGAATGAAGCTGTTCTGTAAAGGTTGTATTTAAAATTTAAAAAGTGAAGTAAGATCCCGAGATGATAGCTGTCATAAATAGTTGAAGTTGTCTTTATTACATCTTGTTTCTGCCGAACAAGTGTTTAACAGCACATAGAAACACATCAGGCTAAAAGCTGGCAGACAGACAAAAGACCAGATCCATTTGAAACTTCATAGAGAACTGCGCTCAAATGTCTATGCTAGTTCAGTCCCCCATGCAATATAAGCAGTCCTGTGGGGTACCGAGTGAATGACAATTGCGAGGGCCTTTATTTTATCCAGTAGCTTCCTCAAGGATGCAGACAGTCTCTGAGCTCTGCTAAGGAAACCAGAGGACTGTGCTGCAAACTGAGATTCTTTAGAGCATTTGAATTGGCGCAGGACAAGACGAAGGCAAATGAATGTGTTTGGCTATTCTGCTTAAATGACTTTTATAGCAGCACCTTGTTCCAGTATCCACAATATTTTTATGGCTTTATGGTGATACACAGTTGGAAATCTTGGCAGCTGTACTGCAGCTGAAGTCTCTTGCATCACTGTGTGAAATACCATTAACGCCTTTGGCATACAGGTAGGAGGCGCTTGGAAATGGAATGTATTGTCTCCTTTCCTTGTCGCAAGAAAAATTACCTTTTTTTGGAAGAGAGGAAAAGGTAATCTCTCACTTTTATCCTTTTTCTACTTATAAATTTTTGCCATTGTGGCTGGGAAGCGTGCTAGCAAGATGTTTCTGTAAAAGCTGCTGGACTGAAATGCGTGCTGTGAAAGAAGAACAGATGGGTTTTCCTTAAAAGAGAAATCTGGTGTACATCACTACAGCCTCTCTAGTAGGGCCCTGTTGCAATGGTTTGCGTTTGTCTCCTCTAAAAGGGCTCTAGGACTTCAGGGCAGTGGAGAAAAGATCTGGCAAAGACAGAAAGAACAAAATCAGACTATAGTAGCTCTTGTCTGAGTAATGATGCATTACAGAAATCTTGCCACTGAATTGTGTGGCTACTGCTTTAATATGTTGCTGACGTTTCATGTTGTCTTGTTTAAAAAGCCTCTTGCTTTCAGTGGGTTCTATGTGCTACTGCCTCGGTGCGTTTTGCCCTTCTGAAGTAGAGCTACACCTGGCCCCGGAGCAGTGTTTCAGTTTCAGTGGGGAAGCAAAGAAACACTGAATGCATTAAAAGCATTTGGTATCTTGGGTACACTCGCAAGAAAATGTAAACTAAAGTTAAATAAAAAAAACAACAACAACAAAACAAAAAAAAACCCAAAACACCAAAAAAAACAAAACAAAACACAAACAAAAAAAACCATGAGAGAGGTAAAATGTAATTTGTAGTGTGGCATGAAAGGTGAGGATCTGAGAAGAATAGCAGGGAAGCAAATCTGAACTTCACCACTTCCAGACCTCCATGTCATCCTTAACAGATGTCTTCATACACAATTGAAAAAGGGAATAGCCGCCTCTGGCCTTTTGGGTTTTCTTGACTTCTAGCTAAATAGCCAGCTGGCACTTGGGGGAGAGGTAGAAGCACGCCTTTGCTACGCAGCATCCTGCAAGGCAGCCCAGTGCTGTGCTGGTAACAGGAGGCACGTTGCCGTACGGCATTCTGTGGGACACTGGTGGAGTCGCACTAGCCATGCTGTTAAGAAATTCACTCGGGATGGGGGGAGATGGAACATCATTGTCAAAGTAGTTTTACTTGGAGCAGTTGCAAATGTTTCCTATCCCCCTTTTCCACCAAGCGGCAGTGTTCTCCTCATTCTTCCTTATTGCTCTGAGCTTGCAATATCTGTGACAACTAATGAGTAAGAGTTGGAGTTACTGTAAATCCAAAGTGCAGCAAAAAGCGGGGCACTTGATTATAACTTGTTAACTCTTTTGGATAACGTTGTTTTGTTTTGTCCCAGCTGAGTGCTGTAGTTGTTCTTGCTCTATCGATTTCATTGTAAGACATCACAGACCTGGAAACATGCTTAAATAGGTGTCACGGGCTCTTTGTATACGGTTAGGGCTTTTCCAGGGTCTGAATCTGACTACGCAGAGCGTAAATCCTTTACAATGCATGAATGAGGTAAAACATTGCAATTCATCATAGTCTCTTCAAGTCCTGAATATATATATTCAGCACTTTTTAGTGTTTGCCTCTTTGTACATATGAATGAACTACTTTGAGATTGTCTTGAATAATTGACCAGGACACTTGAGCCAGGTTGTGTGAAGAAGTCGTTCCCTTGTTGCTGGTGCGTCCTGTGATTTGGCCTCATTCTGCACTTGGGTAGCACCAGACACAAAGCCTCCAGAAGGTTTGGTTGGTGTCAGCTGTGGGTGTAGACCCAGGAGGCTGAAGGTGCGGAATGATGTAAAAACTGTCTGGTGAAGTGGTGGTGGGGAGAGTGGAATTTGGAGCCTGCCTCAAATAGCCCCAAAGGGGAGATGTTTTTCTCCCCCACCCTATGGAGTTTATAGTTATCTCAGGTTTTTGTCTTGATTCCAGGGAGTATGCCCTTCTTGATCTTGATTAATCATCTGAAAGCGTTCTTCCAGAGCAAACTTCTGGCCCACGGGATTCTCTGTTACTGAGCACCTGTGAACCAGTCCCAAATGCTGTGGGCTTGCAGCAGAAAGCAGAATCTTCCTCTTTAAGTAGCCAAGTCAGATGCTTCAAAATGCAGTTAGAGGATGTAAGGTGCTTCAGGGCCTCATGAAAAATGGGAGATTCAAATCTAGTTAAAACTAATTACTCTCCCAAATTTCGCTCTGGGAGGATGTGCTCAGGCTCTGGAGCAGGACGTGTTTGTTGGTGACCAAAATCATTTCAGGGGTCCCTGGTTTTGAGTGAGCAGTCACCAGCTGTAACCAAGCAACTGTCTTAGAAGCACTTCAGAAACACGGCCGCCTGCTTAGAAGGGAAAAGAAATGGTCAACAGAAGCTGTTGGCAAAGGCTGGTGTTAAAGATGGAATCCCAAAGCCCGGACAGGTTCTATATGTCTTTTCCTCAGATAATGGAGCCGTGGGTACAAAACAAAGGACGCTGGGGAAATGGGTGTGAAATTTGGTGTTCTGCTGGCATTGGTTTGGAATGACGAGGGTTAATGGGCTGTGCGGTGAGTGCAAGTTGCTTGGGCTCTTGCCAGCAGCTGGCTATGGTTACAGCCTTGGTGCAGTAACAAGATACAAGCCTTCAGAGCTCACTAAATGGACCAGCCCTGCAGAAAGAAGGAAAATGAACCTTAAATGAAATATTGACCTTGTGCTCCAAGTCTCACCTGAGGGGTTCTGTACTTCATATTGCAGGGCTGGATGAATAACAGGTTGCAAGCGCTGATCAAGGACAGAGCCCAGCCCTGCAGGTTGGCTTACTGGAGTTTTCACAGGGGGAAATCATTAACTTTTGAACCTTGATTGTGGTATCAGGACTAGCCAGTGCAGGAAAGCCGATAAATATTGCCACTCCCTTAGCGAGTGAATGCCTGACACAGTTTTTCAAAGCAGGTGGCTACTTTGATGTTTTCCTTTTCTGGTTTTGTGGTAAGGGTCCCCTCTGCATCCTTGTGGCACTGTATGGAAAGGCAGCCAAACTGGGGTCTAGCAGAAGGGTGTCAAATTTTCAGAGGAATACGATGTTTTTAAGCATGCCTGAGTACCACCTCCTGATAATCATCAACTCTTTATTATGTTTAGCTTTTGTTGATCCAGCATACCTGTAAAGTAATTTTACTGTGTTGTGATGCATAGGTGTGTACTAATACTTAGATACAGGCTTTTGATTGCAATGGTTTTTTTATCTTGCCTGCCCATTAACCTGTTTGTTTAAATACCGAAATTATCTTGATTTAAAGTAAAAGTGGTAAGTGCTAAGAACCAGTAAATGGGTGGGTGTGTGCAGTAACGTAATCCCTCTAATTAACTCTTATTTTGATAAGGCATATTAATTTTTCTGAATTCAAGATA